GCTGCCAGCAGTTAATCTATAACACAAGAAAGGAAGCTCTATGGACATCCTTAAGTTTGTCTCTACCAACCTTAAAATCTCCCACTCACTCAACCACCAGGGAGCCAGTGGGCCTCTCCCTTCCCCCCCACCAGGGAGGCACCGGCTGGGGCTCCGCCTCCTGGGCCCCAGGTCCTTCCACACAAGCGGCTCTGCAACGCTGAGCTGGGCCGCACGGAGAGAAGATGAATCACAGGGAGATTCCCCGGGACAGGAACACAGCCTCCTGGCCGGCTGGGGGAAGTGTCTCAGGCGGGTCCTTGTGCAAATTCCCACACAGAACCGAACGGCCTGCCTTTCTTTCCTCCTTCAAGGGAGAGAGTTAAAAGCTGAGTGGCGGTCGCCTGGAGTAACAGGGTGAATATTAAGCACGTGAGGTAGAAACTCGGATTACACGCCAAACGCCACTCACAATTCTAATTAGCAGCCATGAGTAGGGCACTAATGGCCGAGGAGTGAGTGGCAGCTGTGAAATCCCATCAGAGGTGTGAAGGTCACATGTAAACGAACGGAGTGCGTGTGACCTTCAGGAAACCAGCAGTGAGATCGCAGCACGGCCTGGCCACCGAGAGGTAACGGGGCAACTTCACAACTGTGAGAGCAGCTTGTTGCAACACTGCATGCGCACGATACGCACACGGTGTGGGTTGAATTTTATCACAAAAAAGTTATGCTCCAGTCCAAACCCCCAACACCTGATGTGACCTTATTTAGAAACAGGGTCTTTGCAGAGGTGATCAAGTTAAGATGACGTCCTAGTAGAGGAGGGTGGCCCTACCTCCAGTCCTGGTGTCCTGGTGAGAAGGGGGACATTTGGACCAGAGACAAGGCCACCGGCGACTGAGGCAGAGACTGGAGTGATGTGTGTACAGACCAAGGACACCAACACTTGCTGGCCACCCGCAGAAGCGAGGAGGGAGGCAGGGAGCAGAGTCCCCCTCAGAGCCCGGGAGGACCAACCTGCCGCCTCCACCGAGACTCCTGGCCCCGGCGCTGGGAGGGAACACAGCCTGTTGTTTTAAACCGCCAGTTTGTGGTCACTTGTGGCAGCTCCAGGACTCCATCCGCATACATGTCTCTCTCTCTCTCTCTCTCTCTCTCTCTCTCTCTCTCTCTCTCTCTCACACACACACACACACACAGGATGACATTCATGGAATCAAAAGCTCCCTACTGAGTTACCTACTTTTGCCTTGTTAATTCACTAGTTAAAAACACACATAACATTTAAATCTGTTGTCACTTAAATTGTGTCTTTAAAATGACCTAAATTGTGTGAATGAGCTCTCTTTGCCACAGAAATAAAATACCAACCAAACTCACACAACTAAAACACAGCAAATATTACCCTCTGAGATCCCGCCAAACTCGATCTAATGAAAGTGTACTCTGGCGAAGGTCGGGAGGTCACACGAGAGGGTTCCGAGAGCGAGAACACTGAAGCAGGAAGGCCCTCACCACCCCTCCCAGCAATATAAAGGGTCCTGGTTCAGTGAGAGGAATGCTAGAGGGCATTTACACGATAATTATATCAAAAGAACAGCCCTGTGCAGACGTGAGGAGCCACAGGGAGCTCCAAGGAGCTATGTGGACGGGCGGGTCACACAGCCCCACCACCAGCAACGTGTTTTTCATTTGAAGTCGCTGCCCAGGTGTGGCTGGAGGCAGGTGACCACTCCTGCAGTTATAAGAGGAAGGAGCATACGTTAGAAGGCAGTAAAAACACCAGGAAATGGAAAGGTCTCCCAGCTCAAAGCCCAACCCCCTTGGCCTGGTGCCTGCAACACCACCATCAGCTGTGGCCTAACCTGACCCTTGGTCTCCACAGGCAGACCTGACGACTCATGGCTGGGGCTGAGCCATAATCGGCTTCTAGCTCCTGCACCCCCGGGAGGGGATGCCACAGCTCCCATGCTCTCCATAAACCTGTGCAGAGACACGTCCATTCCAACTCCAGAACATTCCGCACGCAGCTTCCCAGTAAAGCACGCACGGGCTCTGAGCGACAGGAATGCCCTCAACAAGAATGGCAACCACTTTGCAGTCACAGGCTCCCTGGCTGTGAGGAACTTCCATGGTAAGACAGGGAGAATCAAGGCTTTTCTGTCATTTTCTTTCTGAGACAACCATGGTCCCTTCCTGCTGCCATGTGGAGACCCGCCGGGGGCACATGGACGGGATGTGGGAGTCAGTTTCCTGGTCTGCATAGACACGGCCACCTGCCTGGTTCAGGCAGGCGCGGGTGGCCAGGCTCTGAGAAACAGGGGTTCAGGGCTAAGGGGCTTCCAGCACAAGACAGCACCCAGAGGCCCTGATGCACGTCCATTGGGTGCACCTGGCTGGGTGCTGCTCCAAGCTCCCAGCACCCCCACACCCTTGACCTGGGGTCAGTCAGTGAGAGGCTCGGCAGCTGGTGCCCGGGTGAGCTCCTGAGGTGCAGGGAGAAGACGGTGGACTGTCCTCCTCCTGACGCAGGGGCCTCGGGCGCGGACCTGAGGGGAGAGATGTTTCCACTGTGCAGCTGAGGAAAGAATGTCCTTTCGTGTACAAACGCACGCAGTTCTACCCTTGAAAATCGTGTTTAGGAAACTGTATGCGATACCAGGAAATTCAGTAGAGTAAAACGTGTTACTTGAAAAACCAAAGAATCTGGGCTATTAGGGGTCGTAATTTTGGTACGATTTTTACTTTTAATGAATGAACATTCAAGAGAAATGCCTTCATGCTAATAAAAATACAAGGCCAGTTGCAAAGACAGCACAGTCAGGCCCAAATGTGACAAAACAAACTGTGACCGTGCAAAGGGACAAGAACGCAGCCACAGCAAAGACAACACAGGGGGAGGGAGAGGCGTCCCTGAGTGAGAGGGCCGGAGACTCCGGTACCAGCCACGGCACCAGCCAGGCAGACACCGAGCCTAATGAGAGCAGCCAGAGCATCCCCAGGGGCAGGGCTCGCATCGGAGTGCCTGAGGGGTGTGGTGGGTGGTGCTGGCAGCTTTACCTGGAGAGGTGATCATTACACCTGCTATCAGGTCACCCAGACACTGAGCGGCCGGGGTCATCAACCTATACAGTAGCTACACCTGAGGAACCAGCAAACCTCAGTCTAGGAAAATCAAAGCCACACTCAGACACAAAGGAACAAATACAGCAGCCCGACCAGGTGCAGACCCCAGAGTGAGAAAGCCTCCTAAGCTCTCGCCTCCCTCGCCTCTCTAAACCATGCATCTGCACACACTTTCCACCAGGGCCAGGTGTCTGCGCACGGATTCCCACCTTCAAGCCTTCGAGTTCACCTCCGGTCTTTCTAAATCATCCTCTCAGTCTGGGTCACGCAGAAAGTCGGCCTCTCCATGGAGACCACCACAAGGCTTTTATGTGTTTATAAAGTTCCGCAAATTAATGGCCGAGCAACAAGCAAAGATGGCCACAGGACCCATCCCTCCACACTATCCGAAGGTTCCACAGGCCCCAGGACAGGAGTTAGACACTGAACAGGTGTTACAGGAAACATAGGAAGCTAGACTACTGCTAAAAACACATCTAAGGGACGCAACAGGGTGAAATGTTCAACTTAAAGAAAAGGCAAAATCAAAGGCAACAGGATGGAGCACAGGACGAGGAGGGGAGGGAACGCTACAGGACACAGCCGCCTCTCCTCTCTCCAAACAAGACAAGCGCTACCATGAAGAAAGGGCATAGTTACCTGCATCCATATCTGCAAAGAATGGAACAGCCAGTAAGAAAAAGAAGGAACCAGAAATTCAGTGTCTCAGAGTTGGATTTTACAAGGTTATATGGAGAGAAAATAAAATTTAGAAAAACTGCCTGTGAACTAGGCCTGGATTAGGGACACAGGGGCTGCTGGGTTCCTATCGGCATTTTATTTACAGCAGAAAATATGGATATGTTAACTGAAGAAGGAAAAGCCTAATGGCGAATGAAACATCTTATTCTCATGCAAAATGACCATTACATGTTTATCACACACTATAAAGGGGGAACACACTCCAACAGGTGGTGGTAGGCATCTGAACGTCTCATATCTACGACTACGTCACAGGACGTACACAGTATGGATAAACTCAACATCCCGGCCGGAGAAACGGCCAAGCAGTGTTTAAGGGAGTAAGACTGGACTGACATTTGGAAAGGACAGGACTACTGGGAAGAAATCAATTTAAGAGTATTTCATGGTTCTACTCTTGCTCCGAATGCCACAGAGAATACGATCGGTCAGCGACCAATACTGGAGAAGAAACAATCTACCTAAGGATTTCTACTGCTTGGTGCGCTATTACTTTCTTGGCATGTGATACATGGAAGTAATGATTTAGGATATGCTACAGGAAACGTAAGAGCTAAGCTCTCCTAAGCGTGAACCTGCCTGCCAGGCCGCGTACCTTCAGGAGACTCTTCCTGGACGTAGGTGCCGGTCAGGTAGCGGTGCACCAGGGCCGACTTGCCGCTGGCCAGATTGCCCACGATTCCCTGAAACAAAGCAACGGACGATCATTAAGGACCAGGGCGTCAGTCGGTTCGGCAATCTACAAGCGGAGGGAGTTAAGACGTGCAGTGCCTCTACACATGATCACCCCGGGCACTGGCTGGAAGGGCAGAAATGGGCTCAGGGACCTTCCTGCTGGAGGAGAGGGACTGGGCTCCCTCGTCAGCATCCCCCTTCTCACCGCCTCGCCAGCCCTAAGAGCGTGGACATCACCCCACACCTGCGGCTGAGGCGCTCTCCTGCACCACGCGCGGTGGGTCCACCAGGAAAGGGTGTGAGTCAGGGCGTCGTGAACTGTGAACCCTCCGCGTCTGAGCAAGGAACGCTGAGCGAGGAACGCTGTGGGCCATGGTGGCCTGCAGAGCATATGGGGGTAAGGAGGACATTCTGGTGCGTTCCATCACCAAGGAAGTGCATGGTTACCTGCACCCGATTTGGGGGTAGGAGTTTGGAGCTGGGTCCAAATGAGCCATGTGGGTTAATGACAATGTGGGGGCGGGGGTGGGAGGTGGAGGGACGAGGCTGGTACCAGGCAGAAGACAAGAGCAAGCCTGCTTCTCTGGAACACGGGTGCGGCTGCAGCACGGGTGTTACTCACTCATTTCACAAGCCTGGGACCCACCTGCCCACTGCCTGCAGGCCAGAGCCCACGCTCCAGGAGCAGCAGCAAACGGTCTCCCTCTGAAAGCTTGCACACCCTGTTGCACACACACAGGCCGGCAGCAGGTCTGTGGCCCTCCCGCCCTTCTCTACCTGACCAGTTTGGGATGGTCTTCCTGCTCCTCTTCTGCACACTGTGACTGCTGGGGATGTTCGTGGCTAGGTCCCCCCTATACTGAGGTCCCCGCAGACCAAGAACTATGTCTCTGGGTACTGGCAAGGACACCAACTCCACATCCCTACACTTACCAGTTTCTGGCCCCAACAAAGTGCCTGGTAATTATGGGATGGATGGAGGATGGATGAAGAGAGGGATGGAGGGAGGAAGAAAGGGATAAAGAGATGGATGGAGGGACACGACATGCCAAGGGAGGGAGGGTAGGACAGCTGGATGGGTGGACGGATGGGTGGATGGAAGAAAGGAAGGACAGATGGAAGGAAAAGAGAATGGCTGGTTGGATAAACGGATGATGAAGCCAATAACTAGAAGAACAAACACATGAAAAAACACACTTGGCATGAAACTGTGAAAAATAAGTTAAAATTTGACCTTTCTGTATCCTATTACCCATCCTGCGCTCCCCAGGTACAGCCCTTTAGTTTCTCACCTTCCCCAGCTCCCAAACTGCACCCCAGACACCTAGACCTTCCCACATCCGCCAATGCCCGAAACACTCCTGCTGCTCTGGTCAGCAAGCAGTTCAGATGTCACCTCCTCCGGAAAGCCTTCCTAAAGCCACAGTCTCAAGGAGCAGGGCTCCTCCACGCTCCGTGGTACATCCTCACATGCTTTGTGGACCCCCCTCTTTATTTTCCCAGCATCAGTATGAGGTCTGACTCCCCAGGACTGACAACTCCCTAAGGGCAGGACCGTGTCTCCTTTGTCCTGGTTCTCTGCCTCCCAGCAACACTGGTTGAATGAGTGAATAAGTGAATGAATGAGTGAATGAGTGAATGAGTGACCCAACACTAGTGAGTATACATGAGCTGCTCTTTTGCTGTGGCTGAAAGCCAGACTTCGCAGAAGATCCTAAATAAAGCTGTCTCCTTCCTGGTTTCTGATGTCTTCCTTTCACCTGAGGCCTCTATAATCCGAGAATTTCTACCTATTAATTATTCTTTTGCTCAAGGGCACCTGCTGTTTGTCAGCTTCATGCTGAGAAAATCCAAAACAGCGTGCCACAGAATTAAATTTTTAATTAAGATTAGAGTGCCTCTTTCCCGAGGAGGAAAACGCTCAGAATCAAACACCGTGTAACCCGGTGCTTTCTGCGAGTGGCAACGGCCCTTCCTTCCTACGTGCCCAGGACATGCCAAGAACTGGCTGACCCATCAGGAGGAATAAACCAGTCAGTCCTGGGGGGCGTGGGAAGGTGTCAGTGGGTGTGAATGGCCATCTCATAGACCTACATTCCCCACCCCGGGCACTATTCTAACCTGAAACACTGGCAGAAACCAGCAGCCGGCTGTGGGGAGGAAAAGAAGAGCGAAGGACAATGCTCGTTCCGCTGCAGAGCTGCAATGGGCCCGGGAGCCGCTGCAAGTACAACAGGAGAGAATGCAGGAAGCCAGCCTGGGCCTGCAGGCTCTGTGGGGGGCAGTGTCCTGGCAATGACAGACCTGCCGGCGTGAGGTGGCCGGGGTGGTCACCCCCGGCCCTTCGTCCTGGGGCAGGGCCACGAATCCTTAGGGAGCCGCGCTCCACATCGCCAGTTCACGAGGGAACGAGAGCGCCCTCGCTCCCCGCACTGACTTCCCTGCCTCCCAAACTCCACCCCTCACCTGCTAACCATGTGGTTTGCTGAAAAGGAAATCTAGGCTCTTAGTAAAAATCCCAGTTGGGAATTCAACGAAAACACGGAAGTCTGACGTGACTAGAGGCTGATGAACATGCCCCTCGACAGGCAAGACAGCTACGCTGGCTTCACTCTTTCTGCCCGGACAAGAGCACCAACCCTATGCCTGGCATGCAGTGACCCGCCGGTGCAATTGTCATTGATCATCTAACCCTAACACAACCTCAGGACACAGCATTGCACTACCACTCTTGAAAACAGAGCAAACACTGAGCTGTTTTCTCTGACAGATTCCAGAAGATGGATTGCAAAATGTTACATAAAGAGTCCATCTGAGGCTGGCAATTATGTCATTTAATTCTGTTTGTGAAACAGAGTCAGGGGTCCCGAAGGCGCTGACCTAAGGGGCCACCTGTCTTGTGGTGCTGGACTAGGCAGGAGACAATTGCAGCCCTGTGGATACAAAGAGGCTGCCTCCGAACAATGGAGCACTTTCTGTAGAATCTACAGTGTAGATGCTGCAACTCCTTAGCACAGAAGGGATCTGCCCAGGAGGCCTAAGAGGACGAACTGCCTGCGGCCTCCACCAGGGGGCGCCCGCCCGGAGCAGAGCCAGCCTTCCACAGGGTCAGGGGCAGGAGGGAAAGAACCTCCCCTAAGGACCTGCAGAGCCACTCACATTCCTTATCCAGGATGGAGTCAAGCCTTCGGAGAACTCAAACAAACCTTCAGGTAGTTACTTGTGGAGAACAGGAGTCCATGCTCCCCTGATACCATACCTCCTGCACCCCTGGCCATTGATTTCAGATGTTTGCTTGCTGTTCAACTGGCAGAAAACACATCTGTGGTATAAGCAGCCTTACTATGGGCTGGCAGAACCCTGACACCTTTAACTCTCAAAACCGGGGCTACGGCAGAGGGTCTGACACTCGGCGAGTACAGTCAGTCTGTAATTATTCCAATTTAGACAAATAAAATTTCAAATTCAGCCCCTCAGCTGCACGAGCCACATTTCAAGTGCTCCACAGTCACATGGGCCAGGGGCCAGGGGCCAGCGGCCAGGCGCGGCCGCCCTGGAAGTGAGGACAGATGTGTCCCCGGTTCACACCCCAGCTCCGCCCTTACTAACTGGCTCCTTCGAGCCTCAGTCTCCCCACCTGTGGGATGGGGTGGTCAGGGTTAAATGAGACGGTATAGGAAGCACTCACAAGCGCCTGCACAGAGGAAGGGCTTTCCAGTGCAGTCACGTTGTCATGGAGACCCCATCCCGAGTCTCACTCCCATGGCAGGACCTACACAGCACATGGTTTCCTGAGGGTGTACGGGAAACTGGCCAACCTTTCTGAAAAGCTCCTGTGACCATGATGCCAATTGTGTGGCATTCGGCTGACAGGTGTTTCCTGACCATGCCAGGTCCGGGGGTCTCAGAGGCAGGAGGAGTGGCTGTTCCCAGGTCAGTCCTGTGGAACCCGTGCTTCCAAAACAGGCATGACTCACGGACCCTTTGTCTCCCGCAAGGGAAGAAACCCGCTGGCAGGTGCCCCAGAGAAGGTCAAGCGCTGGTGGGAGAGCGAGGGAAGGCGATGGGCCGGGCTGACACACAGCGAGGGCAGCGGGGACGGGGGACATGGTGACCCTGCCTCCCAATTTCAGGTGCCCTCCCACACGTCCTCCTTGCTTTTCCTGATGATGAAAGTCATATACACTCTCTTCACAATCTGGGTGTCCCGTGTTGCGCAATCTCATCTCAGAAGTGAGAAACCCAAGGGTCCTGCCCCCCTGAATGTCCAACCAGGGGAAGGTGTCCAAGGGCTTTGGGGTACTGGGCAGACAGCCTGCAGCTACTAACAAATGGGGACCTGGGAGAACTGAGGCAGGCTTCATCAGTGTGTGCTGAGTGGGAGAGCTTACATGCTCCCACATTATGGTCAGAGCCCATCACTGCAGAGGTATATACATATGTGTGTATACACACACACACACAGGGACAGGCGGACATGCATACACACATACATATACACATACACACATGCATATATACGTACATGAATACACAAAGACATATGCGTACACACATGTACATACATACACATGCCATGCATATAAATACACATATACAGGGTGTCCCAAAAAATGTATTCACACTTTAATAACTGATTTCTATTACACTTTGAAATTAAATGTATTTTAATAACTACTGCCTTTATAATTATTCGAAGTGTGCATACATTTTTGGGACCCCCTGTATACATACATATATACGCATACACACGTATGCACATGCACGTACATACACCCACATATATTTTGTTAATCATTACCTGAGGATATTTTTTCCCATTGATTTTTAGAGCGAGTGGCAGGGAGGAAGAGAGAGAAACATCGATATGAGAGAGACACATAGATAGACTGCCTCCCTCACATGCCCTGACTGGGGCTGGGGATCAAATCTGCAACCCAGGTATATACCCTTGACTGGAATCAAACCTGTGACCCTCCGGCGGGCAGGCCAACACTCTAACCTCTGAGCCACATCGACCAGGGCAATATAGGAACATATGTGCACACATACATACACATATACACACACCATACATATAAATACATACCTAAGTGGGTACACTTATACACACATAAATATGCATATATGCATATATACACACATATATACAAACATATATACATATAACTATACACGCACAGGTACATCCCCCCAAAGCCAGTTATTTCATAACAAAGAACATCACACTTCAAGATAAAGTCTGTCCCTTCCTTCACCCTAAATGGAAGTGGGGAGGCGGCTGGCTCAAAGGTGTGGCTGCAAGAGACCCAGGTCATGTTTCATAAGCCAATTGTAAGCTTTAACTAATGTCATTGAAATAATAAAGTTTGTACTAAAAACAAAATTCTTCTTTTAATTTTATGCCACTACTTTGTAATGTAGTAACAGTCACATTTTTTAAATGATGAATTCCAAAGCTTCATGAATCGTTCTAGAAATTTTCCATGACATCCAACAAAGGATAAATAAAGCCGTGTGTGTGTGTGTGTGTGTGTGTGTGAGAGAGAGAGAGAGAGAGAGAGAAACACACACACATAAACACACAAACAAGAGCAGATGATGGAGGGACCCTGCCTGTGCACACAGGCTGCTCTGGCTGTTTGTTCATCTCGGCCTCACAGGCACTCAGGGCTCCAGCCCCAAACTGCCAGCTACACCTGCCCCTGTTAGGGACACACCCAGAGGCAAGCTCCGCTCTGGGCCCCAGGGACAAGCAGGCCCCAGGGATGCAGGCCTGGGTGTGATCAGGTCACCGCCTGCTGCAGAGCCCCCTCCTGCAGGTGAGCACAGACCACTGCCAAGGCCCGGGACGCACTCACCACTTTGAGCTCCGGGACAGATCGACTCAACGTCCATTCCTGGCTGTTCACAAAGGCATCTGCAAAACAGGAGGGTGACAGAGTGAGACACAGGACACTGAAGTGCAAGGTCAGAACGCCCCGATGCACCAGGTTTCAGACCAGGACACGCCCAGTGCAGACAGAGCTCCTGATGGCACCTCCACGCGGGGCTGTGACCTGCCGAGTCCACACGGCAGCTCCGATTCCAAGTCTGCGCTCTGCCCCCCTAAACCCACTCTGCCCATGACTCCAGGGCTCTGTGGCTTCCACGTCCCTCACTTCATGGGCTCCTGCCCAGCCCACAGGCCCCGCCCCGTCCAGGACGCCCGGCTGTGCGCATTCACAGGGGTGGAGACGCAGGAGGCACCTGGCTGCCTGGAACGGACCCTGTAGCCAGTCAGCCAACTTTTGGGCCCTTTGGTTTTTTACTCAAAGTCCCTTGTCTGAAATCCCAAAAACCATGCGATAGAGCAGCGGATCTCAACCTGTGGGTCGCGACCCCTTTGGCGGTCAAAGGACCCTTTCACAGGGGTCGCCTAAGACCATCCTGCATATCAGATATTTACATTACGAATCATAACAGTAGCAACATTACAGTTATGAAGTAGCAACGAAAGTAATTTTATGGTTAGGTCACAGCATAAGGAACTGTATTTAAAGGGCCAGAAGGTTGAGAGCCACTGCATAGAGGATGATGACTGGATGTTAACAATGTAACATTTCAGTGTAGAAGACTCTCTGCTGAAGTTCTGTTTCTCAGGAATAGCCCTGAGGACGTCAGAAAGACGAGTCCCCAGCCACCGTGGCCCTCAGCACAGCCATACCCTTAGCACCCTCGGGCGGCCTCCCGTGCCAGCCGTCTCTGCCTCTCGCCCCCGTGCACAGGTCCAGGGAGGCCCACGCAGCACAGATGACCCCTATGACCTGGTCTCCCACGCCCACAGGAGCCACTTCTCCTCAGTGAGAGCCATTGCACCCCCACACTCTGTGGGCGAGGAGCAGATCCGGAGGCAGCGCTGGCCCTCTCCTTCCAAAGGGGACTCGCTTTCTGCGTATTTCCCACAAATTCAGAAATCTCATCACTCTGTGTTACCTCGCACGGAACTGGCTCACAAAATGCCCGTGTCCCAGTTTCAGAGGGACGGGTGAGCTTCCCATGAAAGGGATTCGGAGTGGAGCCAATGGCAGAGCCGCGCAACCCGCTGAGGTCTGCGAGGAAGGACAGGAAGCACACTCAGAGGGAGCAAGGCAAACACAATCCCTGGGGACACGAAAATGGGTGGGTGGCCATGCCACAGAGCCGACACCTGGCCCTGCAAAGGCGGAGGGGAGGGTGGCCGGCGCTCGGGTGGAAGGAGGGAAGGATGGCCGGTGGGTCAGGAGGCGCCGGGAGGCCAAAGCAGCTGGAGAAGATGCAAGACGCCCAATTAACCTGCAATCCTGGCTGAAAGGAGTGGAGTTAGTGCTCAGTATCACGTGCTGGGCTCTCTGGGAACCGCACGCCGGGCCAGCTGGCAGAGCAGGTGGGCAGAGGTGCCCCTGCAGCTCTAAAGGCAAGATGTCCGTGAAAGTGAAAACGAGGGCTGCTCCTGTCCCCATGAGGCGAACACGCTGGGGGCGACACACGGGTGCACGGGAAGCTGTGCGCCTGGCCACCACTCTTTGGGCTTCCGGGCACTACCCTGAAGTGCCACCCATAAGACATCACCTGCAAGCGGATGAACGTGGATGGTGCCAGCAGGGGCCAGACCAGCCGGTGCCTGGCAAATGGTAACCAACATCCTCCTTACTAGCGAACATCGCTGATTACACCGAAAACACTTTCCGTCACGACACACACCACCAAAAGATTGTTTACCACAACCAGCACGCCTCCCCATGTGCTGCCGTCTGTGTCCCCCTCGCTTACAGCCTCAGACGTGTGTGGAGGCCAAGACACCCCTGCACCTGTGCCAACCAGCTTCCGGTTGCCTAGGACCAGGGCCGGCCACCATGCTGGGTCTGCTGACGGCAGGGCATGGGCAAGGCAGCCTCCGGGGAGAGGGGCTGGGAGCCACTGTCCACATGTCAGCCACAGGAGCCCAGGTTCTGAAGCTGCCCCGCTCTGCTGGCCCCACCCCTGGCGGGCTAGGGGGTCCCTCGGTGTACCCCTGAATCACAGCACAGTCGGTCTCTGAACAGACAGGACCCTCCCTAGAGGACATGCAGACTGGACCCTTGATGGGTCTCAGGAAAGAGGCTTAGGCGCTGGCCTGCAGACGTCCCCAAGTCTCTCCCTATTTTTTCAAAAGATGCAGCTACAAAGGATTCAAGGCTGGTTTCAGATAAAAGCTCATCTCTAAACACACAGCTGCTTTTTCCCAGCCTCCCCTTCCAGGGCCACCTCTGACCCCCGGCCCCCGCCACCTCCCGATGACAAGGACAAGACTCTGGACCCCAAGGAATGCAATTACCCACTGACACTGATAGATGAGAGGACAGACCTTGCCCATCTGCGGCAGCGAGCTGCAGGCGAAGCGAGGGAAAGACAACCAAAAACAAGGCCACCCCGTTGTTTATTTTCACATCAACTCCCCGGAAAAGTTGCATCTCCCATCCCAGATCTTTTCTACAATCCAACCAGACTACAAATTCCCCTCATCCTCTGCTTGCTAATAACACTAACTGAGGGACTCAGCTCTAGGTCTGTTTTCCAAAATGTTTGTTATGCAGAACCGCAAATTTAACCAGGGAATGTCAGGCCATCATTAAACTGCACACAAAATATGCCCCCCAATTTGAAAGCCAGAAATGTTTCTGTTTGTAAAACCTCCTTGGGCCAAAGAACAGAAGCACAATGTGGCCTGGGATGAGGGGAGACATATCCCAAACCCCAACTGCTTAATTAGCTCCTCGTTGCCACCAGGGATCACAGATTAATCACCTAATTCTGCCCAGTTATTTGAGCATCGACCTATGAACCAGCAGGTCACGGTTCAATTCTTGGTCAGGGCACATGCCTGGGTTGCAGGCTTGATCCCCAGTGTGGGGCGTGAAGGGGGCAGCTGATAAGTGAACCTCTCTCATCATTGATGTTTCTATCTCTCTGTCCCCCTCTCTTTGAAATCAATAAAAATATTTTTTTTAATCACCTAGTTCCTAGACACTAGCACACTGTAGACGGAATGAGCCCGCCTCCCAGCAGAGCTATGGACTCTCATCTCTCCTTCCAAGTTACCAACCAGAGCTGAGCATGTGGCCACGGCGGGAGCAACTTCACCAGCTCCTCTCCCACTCCATCCATTGGGCTCCAGTGACCACAAATACAGGTTCCAGACAAACCCCAGGAAATTACACACCAGTGTCAAAAAGAGAACCTGAAATTGCAGGTGAAATTTTAAAAACAACATGTTATCTCGGGGTCTGAGACGTTTATGTGAAACCCTAAATTTCACAAGGATTTTTAAAAAATTCTTTTTAGCAACAGAAAAGTGAAGGAGCGTTTATTTTTAGTTTAAAGCACTCGTAAACCCAAAATATAAATGAGAACCACGATGGGAAAACCAAGCCCGTCCAAAGGAAACGGGACCGTGCCTCCCACAGCGGCCCCGGGGCGTGTCTGTGCGGAGGGAGGAAGTGCAGGTCCCTAATGAAATAAAGTCCATTTGAAGGCAGCAGGAAAGAGCTGGTGGCACCCTGCACACTGGTTCATGCACGACACTCGGTGACTGTCCAACGCAGGGCTCAGCAGATGCCCGCTGCACTGTTTTCCACGGTAGGATTTAATTTCTAACTTGAAAACCCTCGAATCCTTGAAAATGGAATAACGCACACAGCCCTGGGAGACCAGATTCGTTTCAGGCTTCCCCGGAAGTTCAGTGGGCTCAAAGATCCGCAAACAAGACAGTTTCCCACCCCCACATTCCCTGATAATCACCTCCCTCCCCCCCATTTCATAAGGCCCCCCGAGTACAGGGTGACGTGCACCAGGCCACCAAGACACCCCCAAATCACTGCCGCAGACGAGCCATGCCCTGGCTGAGAGCCCCAAGCATCTTTCAGAGGCCTGATGCGGCTCAGAATCCTTCCCAACCCGACCAGTGTCTGCCCGGATCCTTCTCTTGTCTCCAGAGGAGCCCCCAAGGGAAATGTCGCCAGCCAGGAGGCGCTCTGGGGATCCATCTGCCAGCTTTTAACTTCTCAGGGGATCGGTGCCCCCTCTACCCTACACTGTCCTCCCAGCGTTCCTGAATGCTAAACGCTTCATAACAAGCCTGCTTCCAGAACGCTCCGAGACCACTGTGGTGCCAGGTGTGTAAGTAAAGGCTTAAAAGAGTCCTATCTGGGGTGGGGAGAGATTAACCAGGGAACTTACAGGCATAGCCCATGGACAGAGACACTAGTGTGGTGAAGGCCTGGGAGGGGCGGGGTGGAGGGAGGACCACAAAGGGAAATATCTGTAATACTTTCAACAATAAAGGTAAATTAAAAAAAAAAAAGATTCGTGTCTGAGGATAAGGAAAGTAAGTAGAGGGTAGAGGATTGGGGAATGAGCATGGAGAGGAAGAAAACGTTCCTTTCCTCCTTCAAATAAAGAGATGCCTCGTACAGCCCGAGGCCCGGGACTTTAATGGTTCTTTAAAACACTGTAACACCTGAAATGAAAGTGCAAAGATTTTGAAAGTAAAAATGTTGAAGTGAGGATATTGTAGGAAAAGGTATGAGTCCGAAATTGCCAGAGAGAACAAATCGCCAGGTTAGATTCGAAGCCGTCGCTGTGAGATGGGACAGTGGACACTGTTTTTCCTTCTGGGCTGAGTGGACACGCAACAGTAAAATGTAACCTCCACAGTGCAGCTTAGATGCTGGCGGAGGCAACCACCTTATTTGTGAAAGTTAAGCCAAAGCTGAAATAAGCAAGAAAAATTCTCCTGGTTCCAATAAACACTGATGAAAACAGCAGAGAAACTTGGCTCTTCAGTCATACACTGACCTCCTGTCAGTCCTGTGATGGATATAATTGCACCCGACAGACAGTATTAGCTCCATAAGGATTGCA